ATGATGATCACTGGATTGTCTGGTCCAGACTCGAGTATTTACAGACCGCCGCCATATACAACTGGAACGTTGCTGAGTGCGGCGTTAAAATAAGAAACAAACCAACCAACCAACGAAGCCAAGATGCACAGAACGCATTCAACTTAACGTTTTGACAGGCGGCTTGCGACACATTGGCCCTGAACGTACTGGGAGCTCTGGTTACAACATATCACTGACTGTCGCATCATACATTTTCTAAAAAGTTAGACATTGTACGAAATAGTTAATGGAGTTTACAGCTGTTTTTCAGCTTTAAATAACACAATGCAAGGGTGTTAGATACACCTGTAGATTAAAACATTTTCATATCATACATTATTGCGCAGTTTCTTGTAATATATGTATTTAATACATTCGTATTAACTATTTACATGTTTCTTCCTCCGGATGTGATAAGGCAAATATATTTTCCATGGATCCGCTGAGATGAGTGAGTGAGTGAGTTAACGCCCATTTGACCAGTATACACTATTAGTGCAAACCAACTGGATATATTTACGCATTTACATGATGTTTTTAAAATCACTTAATGTAAGTTTCACGTACTAGACTAATTACAGATATAGTCACACTGAGATGTTTCGGTTTCCAGTAACTATTGTTTTTGGATCGAGAAAGTAAGCATTTCGCAGTCTAGTTGGAAGCTCGTTGGAGTTTTTTCAGATACTTATACACTTATCACGTTTCAACATGCCATGTGTTTTGTGAATATTTCGTGACTGAAACCAGTGTGTGAGCAAGTCCTTGATAATGGTCGATGTTTTTAAACCATTACACCATCGAATTTCCTGACGTGAGACAACAATATTATCCACCTTTCGTCCTTTCTGTCACATAAAAGAAATCACAAAACACTTGTTCTAATGGAAATGTTAGGCACTAGACGAAACGTATACAGCCACAGGCTCAACCGTCATGCCTGAACTGCACTGAGAAGCTGGTAATCCCTGGTCAACCCTGGGCTGATTCTACACTTGTGTGATCTTGGGATTCTTGCGGACTTTGCTGTTCAATCATTAAGATTCCAGATTACAGAGGAAACACATAGCAGCGGACAAATCTGTTTCATTTCCTTTCCGACTGTGTGATGTGCGGGCTGGCAAAGACGCTTTCATTTACGACAGGTCTGGGGAGAATCCAAACCCAATTCGTCATATAGTGTGTAGGTACACGGATGGATCGCGACACAAGTGATGCGGCTATAGTCTATACTATTATACTAGTTAACCTTGTGTTTCTGCCATGAACCATCATAAGGAATAAATATTTCAATGTGAAAACCGTTAAGGATCTTTTTAGTACTGTTAGTTTTCATTTAATTATTGTGTTTTTAAAAGAAATTGATTTACTTGAGGAATTTCGATTACTATGTTCTGTAGATAGATGTGCTTTAATGATTGGTAGTTTAGATTAGTAACTTAGATTGTTAGTGGCTGTACCCTCATTGGGGTGGGTGGTGGGGGTAAAGTATTCTTAAATTATTGTCCTCCTGAGAGGGTACGTAAGTCCCGAAACATTCAAAGGCAATTTAAATTTACCAGATTGTTAAATGTAGCATTTTTGTCATTTTGAGTTTGGCTAAATTTGACCAAAATCGCCAGCAGCCGAAGGGTTGATAAAAATCCAGCTAGGGTCAATGCAGGTAGCCAAAGTACTGTAAGTCCCCATGGTCCCTAGTATGGTGATCAGCCTTCAGTTGCTGGTGATCTATAGCCCGTTTTTATATTGTATTTTTGTCTATAGTGATATCTTTTTATGATAGCGTACTAGTCTTAAATTAAGAGATGTGATACTCTAGTAGTTTTACTGTCCTTCAAAAACAGATTTTTTATGTTCTCAATTTATTGATTTTAATGTTGATAAAAAGTAAATTGTTCTCGTCACGATATGGCTGTAATATTGCTGATGTGACGTTAAATATTAACTCACTCACTTTGCAATGAAAGTGTTCAGTATTTGCTAACCTGTCTCGACTTTCTCATGACAGCATGATCGTATGACAGACAGTTGTTGACATCAAAGGAAAGTGAGCGAGAAGCTTGAAGTGGTGCTAATCTCAGTCATTTCCCACATTGATGAAACAATGGCAATGTGTATGGTACTGACACACTTTAACACATAATCGGTATTCATACCCACGATGGATGCAACTAGGTGGTAGGTCAACTAAACTAAAAAGCAAGGATACACTTTGCGAGATGCACGAAAAATATATACCATCATGTTTGAAGACTACTTTGAAAAGAACCTAGTGTCTGTACAATATCCTCAAGTTAAATAAACAGATCAGGAATTACCATCTGAAATTTATACTGAACTAAACTAACTTACTTCCGTGTGCTTAAATTGCTTAAAAATGTAGTCTTTTTGATCATGTGTTCAAGGTTGATAAAACCTAACAAGACTTTAGCATCAGAATTATCCGTCAACTGCGCAATTGTTCCTGGAATATCCTGGTATTCCAGCAATATCACGGCGGGGACATCATCCGATGAGCTTTTGATCGTGCATAATTATCTCCAAACATTGAATGACGTGGCTCAAAAGAAAGCGAGTTAGCTTAATTCAACACCGCTTTATATAGCATTTCATATATAATATGTCTGTGAACGATGTTGGGGGACAGCTTGAAGCGATGCAGATGAAACTAGACATTTATTACTTTTGTAAAACCTGGTAAGGTGCAGACAAATTTGGAAAGATAACCAGCGCGAACCAGAATTGGAACCCAGTGCCCATGGGTGTCTTACATGCTTAGGGGTGCATGTCTGCAAGCAATTTGATAAGTCCTATACGATTGGGTCATGCGTGAGCCTGTCTAGCCTATGTATCAGCGATGGAAAAACGATCTTAAAATGTCTGACCGAAGAGAACATATCAGCCTAACAGCTTTTCAGAAGAAAGAAATATAACGAACAAAAAAATCAATTTCTATTCATTGAAAAATACGAGATCCGAGATCCGTTGGAGACAAATTGATTCTTTGAGTGGGAAAAAGTGTGTGGAAATAGCATACAACAGATTTTCAAACGACATTGCTTTCTGATAAATTTTAAACTTTTATAAAAGAAGCCACCAACACTATTTCGATAGAATTTAATTGCAATTTCCAGGTCGAAAAAGGATTAGTTCACAGTTTCAAAATCTGATTTCACGACTGTAAAAAAAATCTCAAAAGCAACATGTGAAAAAAAAGAGAAAAGAAAACCAATAGGACACAGGAGACACGTGTAATTATTGAGGGACTAATGTGTGCACATTATGTACTTTATAGTTTTTCAGTTGTTGGATGGGGTAAGGCATTAGAGTAGGGCAGAGGTAACGTGTGCCGACAAGAGTGTTATATGTTCCGCCGTATGTACGACTGCCTCGTTTAACTATGTCAGGATCCGTTAATCACTGGTTACAATACTAGTGAAACCCTATTTATGATGCTTGACTTCGCAATTCTGTGCAGCCGTTCGTGGGTTTCAGCGAAATGAGTGAGTGAGTTTAGTTTTACGCCGCACTCAGCAATATTCCAGCTATATGGCGGCGGTCGGTAAATAATCGAGTCTAGACCAGACAATCCAGTGATCAACAGTATGAGCATCGATCTGCGCAATTGGGAACCGATGACATGTGTCAACCAAGTCAGCGAGCCTGACCACCCGAGTCGCCTCTTACGACAAGCACAGTCGCCTTTTGTGGCAAGCATGGGTTGCTGAAGACTTATTCTAGACCGCATCATCACGGGTCTCAGCGAAATGAAGCAGATATCACAGTAAACACAGTAATGCGAAAGTAACTGAAATACTGCTCAAACCAGCTTAAAACACCACTTATAACGTTTGGGGATTATTTCTATTTTTAGACAGTTAGAAATGGAAGCTTCCAAATAAGGAGTTCAAGCATAGAACATTCGGATGTGGACAGTAATTCATTATTCATAAACATAGTTTGAGTGAGTGAGAGAGTGAGTGAGTGAGTAATATGTGTTTTGGGTTGGTGGATATAAGTTGCGGAAACATCAATTGTCACTGAGGAACACTATATGAGCATAACCCTGCATTAATATGTTTTACGTCAGTGTGCTGTTCTCGTGTGTAGGTGAGGCACTGGAAGTGTATATGTAGTACAGCTACTTGAGAAAATGAAAGAGCGTTAAAGAGCCTTCTTTTGAACTAACCTCGCGTAATCAATATTCGCGCACCTAGCACGTTTCGGCGGAATTAACTAGGCACATGAAAATCAACAATTCTACAAACCTTCATCAACATAAAATGTTTCTAAAAAAATAAGTTCCAGCCTTTGACACTTCGTTTTCGTAGCGGGAAGAAGCCATTATCCAGACGACAGTATGAAGGTCAGTTGTGCGCTACGTCATCATTATTCGTGATAGCTTCCGGACAAACAGTACGGTGCACAGTTTACGACAACAGCTGATAACGATGTGATATTGAAGTTCATCTCTCGCAGTGGTGATAAGGAGATTTTTGCCAGGAAATGTTCAGAATGTGTCTACTTTTGCGTATTTTCATAGAAAAATGCAATGAAACTAGTAAACGTTCCATTAATCTTGAATGAAAAGTTCACAACATCAAAAGTCAACACTTGAAAATTTGAAGTGAAAGTTGAATGTCACATATTTACTATTGAATATTGTCAGTTTCATTCCTCAATCTGCAAAGATGGCACATCGTGGCATGGACAGTAGAAAATATCCTTTCTTGAAAATCTTGTCACTGCACAACAATATTTGAGGTGAGTCCAGTCCAGGTGGCCACATCCTCTGTACATGCATTCTCCCCATGAAGTGAAATAGATGGAATCAGAATGTACCTTTTCCAAGGGCACAAATCTGTGACAAACACGACATTTCTCATCCTCTGTAATCTCGTCAGATGAAAATGTGATAGGTTTCATAGGATGAGCAACTTTTGTCTTCTTGATGCTGGAAGGTCCAGGCTGTTGCAGGCCAGATGAGGAAGCTGTTGGTGCTTTCTTTGGTTTTGGCGAAGCTGTACCAGTAACCAGGATGTTGTGTTGTACAATTTTCTATCTTGTGCAGTCTTCAGTGATGGACTTTCCTGACACAACTGTGCTGATTGTCCTCCTCCTCTTGGTAACCTTCTGGACGTTGCCAACAGCTTCCTCCCTGGATTTGAAGAAAGTTGATGTTGATTGAGATGGAGTCACTTCTTGAGGATCTGGAACATCAGAGGCCAACTAAGTTCGAAGTGCTGCTTTCTTCAAAACCTTTGCCGGAATGAACGCTGACTTGTCAACAGCAAGTGGTTCGAATGGATAGATTCCAGATTTCCTGAAAGAACTTCTTAAGTTGTCAGGAGAAAGAGCCTTGCCATATGCTCTACATGCGAGGTCGCAAACAGAATAACGATCAATACCAGTGCAAGCATTAGATCGCATAAATTGGTGACACTCGTTGTTATAGATCCTTTCAAATGGGTCAAAGCATCCTACATCAAGTGGCTGCAGAACATGACTGGTGTGGGCAGGGAGGATGAACAGAAGAATGGTGTGTTCTTTGGCCCAGTCAATAAGAGGAAGAGAAATATGGGACATGTGACCACCATACAGGATCAATATCTTCTTCTTGGAATCTCGGCCTTGTACAAACTTAGCAAAATGATGTTGAAGGTAATACCGGTAAACCTCAGTATTGGACCAGCCAGATTCTGTAACAGTTCCAGCTGATCCTGGAGTGCACTCTTTGAGTAGCTGTGGCCTCATCCTCTTGCCGGGAAATACATAGTATTGTGGAATTTGGTGGCCACATCCAATAACAGTGACAGTAGAACCTTTGCCAGATACTACGGCTGATGGTGTTGTTGCAGGTTCTAAAGAAGTTGCAATAGATGGAGGCGAATGGTTTTGGTTCAGTTCCTTTTCATCGACATTGTAGATTCTCTCTGGTGAATTAAGGAGGTCTTATTTCCTGAGAATTTTCTGGAGCTCATCGAAGTATGCTGACACATTCTTGTGATGTCACCTTTGCCCACTGCTGCAGCTCCAAACCCCTTGGTTTGCACACCTTCAGTTCAGGCCATCTCTTCATGAAGTTGTAGAACCACATCAAAGTGAGGTGATGGTCTTCATCACGCTTTCCAAGGGCTACAGCATAGGTACTTGCCATATCCACTACTTCTGCTCTGCTGTAGCCATAACCTGAAGCAGCCATAACCTTCAGATGTTCCACAAGATGTAATTCCTCTTCTTGGTTGAGCAGCGGTGGTATACCAGACTTGACTACTTCAGGGTTCACATAACCTCTCACTCTGTCGCGCAATGTTGCCTCAGGAATGCCATATTTCCCTGCTGCTCCACGGACAGAAGCACCATCTTCTACTACTGAAAGATAGGCTTTTGTCATTGCCGTTCGTGAGTATGGCCTGTAATGCCCACCGAGCCTTGATTGCAATTTATTTATTTTCAAAACATTACATGTACACAAATATTAAAAATCTTATTCATGTTTATCAAATTTTAACCCCTTAAAACAAATATCAACATCACTTTGAAACTATTTATTTTTTATTTTAAATAATCAATAACACTTTGCAGAGTTTTTCTGAATAAATACAAGCATATTTTCTCAAATCATTAATTAAAACTATTTCATTTGATCCTGCAAAGTCGTTATAATTGCTTTTACTTAGTAACCTTTCATGAAATTTGGCTGTTAAGTTATAAGGAATATGTCTGAAATGGGCTTCCACAGGGTTTTTTTCCAAGACAAACCCCACCTACTGGGGTCATGACCTTTTAGCGTCAGTAGTTACTTATGCAGACGACGGGTAGATCGGTGCTGTCATGAATGAAAACTATTTTGAGGGCCCATTTTCGTCCCGATGTTTTTGAATTGGTGCAGAAGCATAAAAATACGTTTCCTAGACAACTTGTGGTAAAAAAACTCACTGTTGAAACCCACATCGTGACAGCAGAGACACGAAGATGACTTCTTTTTTACAAACATGAAATGTGACGTCACGACTTTATGTGTACCGACCGCGTGAACCCGGAAATGATAGGTGCGCGAAAATAGATGTCTGCGAATTTACATTACGCCAGGATATGCCGTCACACTGTTCAATTTTCAAAAATTCTTCAAACATACTTTGTGTCTTGCGGTATTGAAACCTATAATTACATGACGTTTCATATGTTTCTTTCAAAATACGTTCCATGTATACACAATGCCATTGTGAGGCATTTGTGTTTTCAAACCCATTCTTGTTTGTCCTTTCATATGGTTTTCAAAAAAATTCCCCCAAATATTTTAAAACGATTTCATTGCACATTCAAAATAACGATTATTCACTAGCAGTGTCTTTTCCGCGTTCTTTACTTAATTGTTTCATCAAGGTCCTTCTGAAGAAAATATTTTAGAGGAACAGCAAAAAAGAACAAATTGCCACTAATCTAAAAAAATAGCTGCGTCCTGAAGCAATATGCTTGTGACACAGCCTAACACACACATTTTACTTGGTTGGTGACATGCACCTTTGTCAGAAGATGAAAGGACGGACAATGCCCTTAATGCATACCCACGTATAGGCAAATTGTCATGGATTTACTTCTTTCTATCAACTTCTGCACTTTGCGTTCTGAAGTACGATTGCAAAGGCGTCAGCTTAAAGACAAAACAATCTGTTTTCGCCCATGTGGCAGTAAACGTTTATGTAAAACTAATCCCTGGAAAAATATTAAGGTTCAGTTCGATCCTGCAAACCGTTAATACATCACGGTACATTTACATAAAACTGTTCTCCTCGGTGCCTTAAGAGAGAGTTAACTACAATATCCACCTTTTGGATTAGACATCTTCAACTCTGGATGGTTTAAACATTCCCGAGTGTGCTGAACTCGACTAGAAGTCCTACTGTCTTTACAGCCTCGAGGAATACTGTGGTTAAGGATAACTGTTAGCTGCATCTCCTATTCATCAATAAATCACGTCACATCAGAGCACTCACGTGTTGTTTTCTTCAGACACGTGTCACGTGTCAATATGCCATGTGATTTCTGTTTCGCGACTGGGTCCAGTGCTCACGTTTTCATAATCCTGCAACCACCTACGCATTTCATATTGCTCTATTTGCTTAAACGATCATACTTCCTGGTATATAACAGCAGTGTTACAGCCCCTGTTCGACCCTATTTGACACATAAAAGCGTCACGATAAATCACACAAACATGCTTTGGTTGGATAAATAGGCTTTATATTACAGCCAAAGTCCAAAACGTGCCCAGAGAGGCTTGTAATCCTTTCGGCCGGGGCTGATTCTACTCTTGTGTGGTCTTGCGGACTTTGCTGTCCAATCATAAAGATTGAAGATTAACGAGGAATTGACATGGCAGTATCGAACAAATCTGTTTCATTTCCTGTCGGATCTGCGCCTTGTGATGTAGACTGTGTGATGTGCGGGCAGGTTGGTAACAACACTTTCAACTACATGTACTGGCCTGGTCAGAATCCAAACTCAAGAGATCATTCCTTGATGAAGACGGATTGATGACAATACAAGCAATGGTGGTATATTATTGTCTATAAATCCTATAGAAAATAACAGGTTTTGGTGTAAGATAAGACTGCTCGCCTTACTCAGAGGGATCGTGGTACTATGTTTTGGGGAACGCGAGTGAACTTGGTTTAACATGATTTCAACAATGTAGCCTGAAGTGAGGATTTTACAGCTTTGGTAAAACGCGGTGTTCAAACAAACGATCAGGCGACGTAACTATACTGAGCCTAAGATTACTGGAATATGGATGAGAACAGGGAACACCAGACATGTTCCTCATGCACTGTACCCATTTGGGGAATCGATTGGGGGTCTTCGTCGTGACGAGCGAACGCTGAAACCATAAGGCTACTCCAACACCATTTCAGTGATTCAGCAATAAAACGTTTAACTAATTTATTATTGAACCAAGGATGTAAGAAAATACCTTCTGTCTGAAAGGACCGCTAAAAATGTTGATCTTCAAAGTTGATTCTGTGTTAAAAGTTATTGCTAGACGTTGCTAAAAATAACATCTCGAAATAAAGTGCAATAAAGCCAATACCACATTGGGTACATCTACGGGATAGTTGTAAAGTGCAAAAGTATAATTCGTTTTCCATCGATGTAACAGAAGTTCAGCATGGGCAAAGATAGCTGTTTTGTGGTCGTTATGGTTTGAACACACACCGATACATAAACTTATTGTCCTTGACAATGAACATAAAGAAAAAATAAACAATCGTTTATCACTCATTTAAATAAAAAGTGCCTTCCAAAAATGGCTGAAGAAAAGGTTATTCCTCTCACCTTTAACATCGGCAGTGAATCGACCTTGACGTTGTTGGCTTCATAATAATAATAATGTTGTTATTAATGTCGACTAGGCATGGTGGAAATAATAATAATTATTCATAAAGGCATGATTCAAACCTTACTATCTCCCATTAGAGCACCCAAAAACCATTCAGTTCAACAGTTACATACTCTGTGTTGATTACCTGAAGTAATCCTTTCGGGAGAAATATTTTGTAACCCCAAATTATAAGCAAATTGTCATGGAATGGATTATGTTTATCCAACGTCGTCACGTTGCCTTGTGGACAATCAAAGTAAGCGTCAGTTCAACACAAAATATCCTGTTTTCGCAGATGAAGCAGTGAGCGTTTTCGTAAAACCCTTCCTTCAAATATGAAATGTTCCTGGAAATCTTTGAGACACTTTTCCATGAAACTGTACCCCTAGGTGCTTCAAGATGGATTAAACTACATCCTGTAATTGGATTAGAAATCTCCCCCTTTGGGACGGCTTAAACTGAACCAGAAACGCTTTATTAGTGTTATATCTCCAAGCTATAATGTCAATTAGGATCTGGCAAATGTCACCATACAGTAATTCATGCGCTTCATCAAGATAGTGTAACCTTTCGATGTATCTGAAGATTAGTACCTCAAACAATCCTTTTCAGGGCATGAGTGCAATGCTGTCAGTTTATGTATTGAGTAAAGGAATCCTATGAATGGACTTTGCACAAAAATTAACAAAATGCATTAATTTTGTACATAATCTTTACTTTTCCTGTCCAGCATATCACGCTACTTCCTTCATGATTTAAACTCTCATTTTGCCAGTATTTAGTACCTCTAGAGTGACTGATATCTTGGTTTGTTTTTATTTGTTTGTTGTTTAACGAGTCACTCGACAATATTCGATCTATAAGGCGACGATCTGTAAATAAGCGAATCTGGATCATATAAATCAGTGATCAACAATATCAGCTTCGCTCTACCAAATTGGGTTACGGTGACAAGCGTCAACAAAGCCAGCAAGCCTGACCACTCGATGCTGTTGGTCGCCTCTTACGATAAGCACGGGTTACTGAAGGCCAATAATCTAACTCGGACCTTCACGGGTGTACACAGGTAGAAATACAAATAATTTTGTCCTTGATTTTGGGGGTTAGGTTTAGGAAAAGAAAATTTGAAATATGACAGCATTGAACAGCGTGATCTGTCAGGTGGTATCGCAATGTTTACATGAGGGATCTCCAGTGTTGACTGAATTACAGGAATTGTAAGGAATTCATTTCAGAAATATTCTTCCAACCCACACGGCCATGACCATATTGTATAATCAGTAATATGATGGACCTGTTTAAACAAACAAGTGTTCCGGTGGAAAGATCTCCCCTGTTTATCCACGAGGGAAAGGGGACGATTTCGTGTATGTTTGTTTTAAACACAAACATTACATGTTTGAACTCTATATTACGGGGGAAAAGATCTCTCTCAAGCATTTTCAATCTTCATTAAAATATGGAATATGTTTTGGCTATTTTTGTTTGACAATAACATGATGGTGCCTTATCTTATGTATTTATGGGGCGGTGGGATAGCATAGTGGTTAAGGCGTTCGCTCATCGCGCTGAACACTGATGAACTTTGCCATCGTCGATCTAAATAGTACTTGCACACGGTTCGGGACGATGGTTGAAATATATGTGCCCCCAACCAGTATGTGTTTGGATCATTCACAACGCGACATCGCTATTTTGTTATCTATATCTATTATTATAAGTTCCCATGCTCATAATGAAACATGGCACATACACGATTGTTGCTGAAAACAAATCAATGAATGACAGACCATGAAGGAAACAGATACGGCATACGTTTGCTTGTCCCAGAAACAACCCAAGGTTTCTTATTAGTAGAGGATTCATTTGCCGGTGTTAAACACAATTCTTGTCAATGGAAACCTGGATGAACAGTAACTGGTAACTATTTCTTGAAAATTCAGACTTCAAGCCTGAAAAGGACAGTTATATGTTATAATCGGTTTAAATGGAGGCATATACTGTTAACGATT